TTTACCCCGGATAAGTTGGTATAAACTAAGATTAGAAAGTCAAATGTACAATTTTTATGTCATTTTATTTAAATGAAAAGTTCACTAATTTTATGGACTACATAAATTCAGACTTTTAAAGATCATCTTTTCAGCTATTATATAATTATATGTATAATGTATATATTGTCATTTACCTAGGTAAATAATTATGAGAATACAGTTAACTTGTTTTCATACTGAAGTATTTCTTGTATTATAAGTTACAGATCACAACTTTGAAATTCTTCATTTGAAATATCCCAAGTATCCAAAATATTCCAAATGCTGAGTTTTTACTCATCTCATGTGGGATCCTTAACATGTCGTCTCAGATCGTGGCTCTTTTGGCTCATCGATCTTAGTCGGATCCCATTTTTTTTTTGACCAAATGCTCGTTTGAATTTTTGGACTCTGATTCCATATTAATATTAATGGGGTTCCATCTCAAAACCAATTGACAATGAGAGGAGTAGCTCATATCTATTATAAATCATTGTTAGGTACTTCTCTTTTCAATGTGGGATCCTTCACAGAGTTTGTAGTCTTATTACTCTATAAGTATCAATTATGTTATAATTTGTTTGCTAGTATGGTACAACTTATACATGCAATGTAGTTTCTCCAGCAAATTGTTTGTAAGAAGTGAGAACTTTTATTCAGTTGCATGTAAGGTTACATTTTGCAATATATATCTAATTATATCTGTTTGAGGATAAAGATACCCTGTACACGTGGAGGACGCTCATTGGTGTTCAGGGAATGAAGGAAGTATCCCAGGTCCACCTCGAACCTGTCGAGGAGACTAGGTTTGCCCATAAACAAGGCTAAGTGTAAAAAACCCCGGTTCGACCTGGACGGGTTCGATCTACTTAAACCCTACAGGTTCGACATAAAAAAGACAAAGGTAACCGCCGGTCGGGAGCACTGTCGGACCTGCCACCTATAAATAGAGGGCCTCATTTCACAGACAAGTATCGAATCTCATCTCGAACTTAATATTGAGTCCGACTAGAACTGACTCGAGCGTCAGAGAGTTTGCTCTCTTGTGCAGGTTCACTCTTGAGTTCAGGTCAGGCCGGAAGCCGGGTTCGAGCTTGGTTCGTAAAACTGCATTGTGCAATAACTTGCATAAACATTTGGCTTCGTCTGTGGGAAGGGCAATGTAAGTCATCCCGATCTAAAAAGCATGAACTAAGATGGTTCAACCAGCGAACTCAACCAACACAGTAGACCGAAGAGCTCTGGCTGCCAACGATGGTCATTAGAGGGAGGTGGGGGTAGAAGTGGCAGAGGGCCAGATTCATGAAGGCCTTGGGACCGAGCCGCTCCGTAGGTCAGCACGCATCACCACGCCCGTTCTGCCACTGATACATCCAAAACCGTCAAAGGCCAATCGCGGCCGAGGTGGTGCATCAAGAAAAACCACTCGAGGAGCAGCCCAGCTCCTACTAGGGAGAACTTTGATGCACTCCAGAAAGAAATGGAGGCAATGCGCACCCAGATGTGCACCATGGAAGATATGTACAACGAAATGGTGCAAGCTGTGGGTGCAGGGTCTCGATCTGAAGACCGAGCGGCGCACGACGAGGTGCTTGAACAAGGAGGTCTTTACCTCGACCCAGTCGATGAAGGGCGTCCTGGAGGAGATGAAGATGAGGAGTACACTCGTCAGAGAGGCGATCTCCACGACCATCTCAACAGAAAGAAAAGCTCGTCCCTTCGAAAAGGACGATCTCCAGCCTACTCGCACAAGAACTCCAACCAGTAGGCCGAATCTTCTTACAATCCAGTAGTTCCTGAGGGAGTAATTACAAGGGAAGAGTTCGACCAGCTTAAAAGCAAATTTGATGCTCAGGTTGAAGCTTTAAAGGCAAGGTGCGAGGTCAAAGGGAGCGTATTTGATGATGGCGACTTGGGAGAGTCACCATTCACCTCAGATATCCTGAAGGCTCCCATCCCTCAAAAGTTCAAAACTCCCACTATGAAACCGTATGATGGGTCTAAGGACCCAAAAGACTATGTTGAGGTCTTCGAAGGCCTCATGGATTTTCAAGCGGCAACGGACGCCATTAAATGTCGCGCTTTCCAAATCGCGCTTACTGACAGTGCACGTTTGTGGTACAGAAGATTGTCGGCTAGGTTGATCTCGACCTACTCACAGTTGAGGAAGGAGTTTATTAGTCAATTCTCTTCTCGACACTATTACAGAAAAACAGCGACTCACCTCGCCACCATCAGACAGAACGAGGGTGAGACGCTTAGAGAGTACGTCACAAGGTTCCAGGAGGAGCAGCTAAAGATCGCACACTGTTCCGATGACTCGGCCATGTGTTACTTCCTCACTGGCTTGGCCGATGAGACTCTTACGGTAAAACTTGGAGAGGAGGCTCTAGCTACTTTTGCCGAGGTCCTGCAAAAGGCGAAGAAAGTTATTGATGGGCAAGAGCTCCTCCGGACCAAGACCGGCCGACCAGAGAAGCAGATCGACCAGAGGAGGTCCGACCAGGACAAGAGTAAGACTGACTCCAAGTCCAAAGACAAGGGACCATCCTCCTCCAGCAACCGAGCTGATTATCGCAGGTTAGATAGCGGTCACAACCGAAGCCGACTTTATGAACGTTATACTCCTACCACCATCCCCATCTCTGAAATACTAACAAACATTGAAGATACTGGGATGGAAAAGCTCCTCAAGCGACCGGAGAAGCTCATAGGAGACCCAGAGAAGCGCAACAAAGATAAGTATTGCCGTTTTCATCGTGATCACGACCATAACACTTCGAGTTGCTAGGAACTCAAGCGCTAGATTGAAGACCTCATTCAAGATGGCTACTTCAAAAAATTTGTTGGCAAGCCGAGGTCTAACTCGGTAGAAAAGAAAGAGGAGAGGAAGCGTTCAAAGACGCCACCTCGCCGAGATGATCGACCTGCGGTCATCAACACCATCTTCGGAGGCCCAAGTGGGGGCTAGTCTGGGAATAAGAGGAAGAAGTTGGCCGAGAAGCCAGGCGCGAGGTGTGCGCCATTAGGGAGCAGCAACCGACCTGCTCCATTGCCTTTGATGATTCCGACTTGAAGGGGGTCCACTTGCCCCATAATGACACACTTGTGATCGCACCTCTCATCGATCACGTCTTGGTTCGGAGAGTATTGGTAGATGGTGGTGCATCTGCCAATATTCTGTCTCTTACAATGTACCTTGCTTTGGCATGGACCAGAGCGCAATTGAAGAAGAGTCCAACACCTTTGGTTGGATTCTCGGGGGAATCAGTCTCCCCAGAAGGGTGTATTGACTTGCCGGTTACGATTGGGCAGGATAATACGCAAGTCACGCAGATGGCCGAGTTCGTCGTGATCGACGGAAGGTTGGCCTACAATGCCATCTTTGGAAGACCTGTCATCCACTCATTTCAGGTTGTTCCCTCAACACTTCACCAAGCTTTGAAGTACTCAACTCCCAATGGGATAGGCATAGTCCGAGGAGAACAAAGGATGTCAAGGAAGTGCTATGCCTTGACACTTAAAGGGACATCGGTGTGCGCCCTTGAGAAACAAGCCGAACGAGCTGGAAAGCAAGACTTCAAGGTCGACCTACCCAGGGAGGGTAAAAGGGAGTTCTCTCCCCCAACAGAGGAGCTCGAGCTTGTTCCCTTGCTTAGCTCTGAAAAGCAAGTAAGCATAGGCACCAAGCTGGGGGCCACTGATAGGGAGGAGCTGATCAACTTCCTCAAGTCCAACTCGGATGTTTTCGCATGGTCCCACGAGGACATGTCTGGCATAAACCCAAAGATCATGGTGCATCGTCTCAACATGGATCCATCATTCCGACCTGTAAAGCAAAAGAAAAGACCTGTAAATAAGGAGAGGAGTGATGTAATTGTTGAAGAAGTAAACAAACTTTTAAAAGCTGAATATATAAGAGAAATTACGTATCCCGAGTGGCTCTCTAATGTTGTATTAGTGAAAAAATCCAATGGGAAGTGGAGAATGTGTGTAGACTTTACAAATTTAAATAAGGCATGCCCAAAAGACTGCTTCCCACTGAGGATCGACCAGCTTGTAGATGCAACAGCCGGTCACGAGCTGCTCACCTTCATGGATGCTTACTCTGGCTACAACCAAATTAAAATGCATGTGTTAGATCAAGATCATACTGCGTTCATAACAGACCAAGGTCTATACTGCTATAAGGTTATGCCCTTCGGCCTAAAAAACGCAGGTGCGACCAAACCAAAGAATGGTGAATAAAATGTTCGCCAAGCAGATCGGCCGGAACATGGAAGTATATGTGGACGACATGCTTGTCAAGAGCAAGCAGTCAAAGTCGCATCTTTCCGACCTGACCGAAGCCTTTGAAGTGCTGCGAAAGTATCAAATGAAGCTTAATCCAGCCAAGTGTGCCTTTGGAGTCTCCTCGGGTAAGTTTCTTGGCTTTATGGTAAATAATCGGGGGATTGAAGCTAACCTAGAGAAGATAAAGGCCGTGCTCGAGACGGAAGCACCCAAAACACTTAAGCAGCTCCAATGCCTCAATGGGAGGATTGCAGGTCTGAATAGATTCGTCTCGAGGTTCACAGATAAGTGCCTTCCTTTCTTCAAAGTCCTAAGAAAGAAGGGGCCATTTGAATGGACGACAGAGTGCGAGCAAGCATTGGAACAATTAAAGACCTACCTCTGCTCGGGACCACTGCTCGCCAAGCCCTTGCCGGAAGACAAGCTCCACTTGTATTTTGCGGTATCCGATAGTGCTGTCAGCTCGACCCTGGTTAAGAAGGAGGGGGTACGCCATAGTCCAGTTTACTACACAAGTAAGGCCATGACTGAGGCTGAGACCAGGTATCCCCAAATGGAAAAGCTGGCCCTCGCCTTGGTCACCTCGGCCCGAAGACTTAGGCCGTATTTCCAAGCACACACCATTGTGGTGCTTACCAACTTGCCCCTGAAGAACGTCTTCCATAAGTCAGAAACTTCAGGACGCCTGATGAAATGGGCATTGGAGCTGAGCAAGTATGACATCCAGTTCGAAGCCAAAACTGCACTAAAGGGGCAAGCAGTGGCAGACTTCATCGCAGAGCTCACTCCACCGTCTCGATCTGCAGAGTCCGATCTTCCTTAGATGATCTATGTAGACGGATCTTCTAATGAAAGGGGATGTGGAGCAGGAATCCTCTTGCTCGCACCAGGTGGCATGCGGTTTGAATATGCTCTACGATTCAACTTTCGAACTTCGAAAAATGAGGCCGAGTATGAAGCGCTTCTGGCAGGACTCCGCGTTGCTAAAGGACTGGGGGCTACCCACATTAAGGTTTTCAGCGACTCCCAGTTAGTGGTAAATCAAATCAAGGAGGAGTATCAAACAAAAGACTCCCTGATGGAAAAATATTTAAGTAAAGTCAGATTGCACCTTACCCAATTCAAAACTTACGAGGTGAATCAATTTCCAAGATCGGAGAATTCAAACGCAGATGCCTTGGCCAAATTGGCGTCAGCATACAAGACCGATCTAGCGAGATCGGTCCCAGTCGAAATCTTGGATAATTCTTCAATTCTGGAGCCAGACATGATGGACATTGACACACCAGCGCACTCATGGATGGATCCAATTCTGGAGTTTATCAAAGGAAACCCCTTGCAAGACTCAAAAAAACACAAGAGGATGGCACGAAGAGTAGCCCGGTTCATACTCCGTGATGAAGCATTGTATCGGCGAGGATTCTTCCTGCCTCTCCTTAAGTGTGTAACTCCTGAAGATGGGAACTACATCCTAAGAGAAATTAACGAAGGAGTATGCGGCAACCATTCAGGAGCCAGGTCGTTATCAACCAAGGTGGTCCGACAAGGCTATTATTGGCCCACTGTTGATCATGATGGCAAGCAGTTTGTGAAAACTTGTGACAACTGCCACCACTTTGCGAACATCATCCATCAGCCTCTTGAATTGCTCACCCCCATCTCGGCCCCGTGGCCATTCGCGCAATGGGGGGTGGATATTATAGGTCATTTTCCTCTGGGAAAAGGGCAAACCAAGTTCGCCGTTGTCGCTATGGACTACTTCACCAAATGGGTCGAGGCCGAGGCGCTCACCCACATCACAGGGTCCAGGATCACATCATTCATTTGGACAAACATCGTATGCCGCTTTGGTATACTGAACGCCATCGTGACGGACAACGGGAAACAGTTTGACAACGCAAAGTTCAAGGACTTCTGTAAGAAGCTGAACATAAGCCATCTCAGCTCGTCCCCCACCCATCCAAAAGCTAATGGATAAGTTGAAGCGATAAACAAGATAATTAAGCGTGAGAATGCAGTTGCTTCTCAAAGAACATGATCTTTTTTTTTCATTCTTGAGAAAAGAGAAGCCCGCAGATCTGGCGCTAATGGCTTCTTCAATCAATTGATGTTGTTGAGACTAGATTCCAGAAAAGGTAGGTGGACCGAGGAGCTACCCGAGGTGTTGTGGTCATATCGAACCACCCCAAGAGAGTCAACCGCTGAAACTCCGTTCTCGCTGGCCTTCGGCTCCGAAGCCGTTGTCCCAGTGGAGATCGGCATGCCAACAGACAGAGTGGAACAGTACGAACCAGTAAGGAATGAGGAAGAGCTGCTCCTCAACCTTGACTTGTTAGAAGAAAGGAGAGAAATGGCTCAGCTACGCTTGACAGAGTACCAAAACAGAATGGCCAGGCATTACAACGCCCGAGTTCGACCTCGAAGTTTTCAAGTCGGATATTTGGTCTTAAGGAAGATTCAGAGACACGTGGACACCCTTGACCCAAGTTGGGAGGGACTGTTCGAAGTTAAAGGCATAGTCGACCAGGAACGTATATATTGGCCGATCTGGAAGAAAACGTGCTTACGCATCCATGGAATGCAAAGCACTTAAAGCGTTATTACCCTTGAAATGTTAAAATAGTCCGACTTGTAAAAATTTTCAAGGGGATGAAATTTTAATAAACAGTGGGGTTATTTAATTTCATGACTCCAAGTTCGACGAGAAATTAAATGGGGGCCAAGGACTCCATAGGACTTAAACCTGGCAAGGTATTGACTGCCAAGGTAAATGTTAAAACTAAGGTTAAAAATTCAATCCTCTAAGCTTACGGGTTCGAGGTGCGATGTAAAAAATTACTTATGAACTTGAAATTCAATCCTTCGAACGCTTAAGTTAAAGGTGCGATGTGGAAAGTTCAATTGTCAATGTTATCCTTTGGACTTCCTAGTTCGAGGAGAAATGATGAAGTCAATCAAGGAAACTCTTAAGGTTTGAATTCAAGTAAAAGGTGCGGTGTGCAAAGTTCCTCTTAAGCTCAATCTTTTAGACTTATAAGTTTGAGGTGCGAGATGAAATTGTTTATATGAGATCAATTCTAACAAAGTATAAAAGCTTAAAGAAAGAGTAAGAAAGGAGCAGAACACAATGCACAGAGCTGGAGAAGTGAAAATTAAATTTCATTACAAGACAAAGCCAAGGCTTGTGTACCCTGTAGCTCTGCCCAAAAACTTGTACAAATAATGAAAAGCAAAAAGCAGAAACTCAAAAGCTCAGCCACTCCCGAGGTGAGAAGATAACTCACCTTGGGAGCCCAGAAGGTTGACCTACTGGGACCCGCCCTATTGCAAAGGGACTTCTTCTTGGGTGGTGCCGACCTCATTGGGCTCTTGACTAGGAGTGTCATCCTCTTCAAGATCGGAGTAGTCAGAGTCCAGCTCCCTGACGTACTTCTCCACCAGTGACTGGGGGCCTGGAGTATTGTTAGGCCCAGAAGCCCATTTTTCAGCATACTTCTT